GTCTCGCTACATCTACCGCGTGATGAGCTAATTCACCTCTCACACACACTTACACCTGAGGACCACATGCATACCTCAGGTCTCGCAATACTCCCGAATTCAGTCGTCTGGCTCATGCCACACGGTGGACATCTCTCCACCTTATCCTGTAAATATTCATACTACCGACTCATCATCTGTACATACCGCATTCACGACAATAAACTAAATCACTAGTTTTGCAAACTGTTGCCTCGCGTGGTTGATTCGATACCTTTCCGAACAACCCAAGGACTGGGTGAGAGACAGTCTTTTGAATCTAGAAAAAGGGAAGCGCGAATGCGAAAAAAAAATCAAGCGAGTGCGCGTGTTCTAACCGGGAAGTTTTTAGCTGCAATTAACACGATAAACATTCATTTCGGGTCACCAGCCGCGTTCGCTAAAACCCCCACACCGCAACAACTCGACCTGTGTACATAAAAATCAGTGCAGTGACACCCGTGTGGAATAAAAAGGACATTCATTAATTTTCTCCACGTGATCGTCTCCTGTGCAAAAATGGCGTCCAACAGTGCAAAAAATGCGAGCGTCTTCTCTACCACGAGACGTTCCCGCTCACGCTGCGCACGCATATCCTCGGCGATTTTCTTGCCCACCATCTTCGGTCGGCAACCACGCCGTCTCACTGTCCATTCATCGTCTCGCGCAAGTGTGAGTGCAATACCGCTCAGCTGTGAATCGCGCTACAGTGTGACAAGTATTAGTATAGTGTTTTCTCTCCCGCACCCGCTGAGACATTGCGGAGCACCCATGAACGTTGTGCTGTGTTAGTGAACGTGCTACAATAAAGACTCCTAACAGCTTTATTTAAGAGAAACACCCTACTTCCACCCAATGTTATCATGTTCCAATCAACCGTCCAGTAACCAGGATCAGCGAGCTTCGTAGAATCTACGCACACAGACACATACATGCCCTCGATGCCAGCGTCGGATACACACGTGCCGACTTACCGAGCACCTCTCCGCGCCACACCATCAAAAGGGATAACACTACAGTGTAGGCAATACCACCTCTACCTCCAGGACGACCTCGCCGACGACAGTAGTTATCAGCTGCCCCAGACCTGGACGAACTCCTCGAGCGACAGTACTTCGGTGGTACGAGGCACATCAACACAGCGACAATGGACACCGCACGTGCGGCGCGGGCCAACGAGGATGGAAACCTCACCCGCAGTCCCATCGCATCAACATCGCATTATGATCACTCGGGCCCACGAGGATGAGAACCCCGCCCGCTAGGCTCGTAGCGATTCCACACATGAGGGAGAGAAGAAAGTAACCTCATGCGCAACTTCTCCGATGGCAGCGTCGAGAACACCGGGCCGACGCAACGAGCTCGTCTCCGCCAACCATCGTCGAGAACATCACACCCTGGCACACGCGACGTCACATCGAACGCTGACAGACGTCTTCACCAGGACATCACCTCTACGATACACCTGTCGAGAGGCATCACACACATCTGCACACACACATCATCGCACATCAGCTCCTGTGAACAACTCCTGGACTACGGAATAACATCATCAACCTGGAGAGCAGCCCACGCCTAGCAGCAGCTAGGGTATCGCAGTCAACTCCATCACCAACGAACATTTTCTCGAGCACCCGCTCGAGTTGTTCAAACATATTAATTTTTTTCTTTATGTTTCAGTTTAGAAAAACTATGTTTTTCACTAAGGAGGGGAGTCATGTAGTATCTCGCTACATCTACCGCGTGATGAGCTAATTCACCTCTCACCCACATTTACCCCTGAGGACCACACGCATACCTCAGGTGTCGCAATACTCCTGAATTCAGTCGTCTGGCTCATGCCACACGTTGGACATCTCTCCACCTTATCCTGTATATATTCATACTACCGACTAATCATCTGTACATACCATATACACGACAATAAACTAAATCACTAGTTTTGCAAACTGTTGCCTCGCGTAGTTGATTCGATATCTTCCCGAACAACCACAACCTTGAATCCTGCAGGGGGGGGGGTACAAGCAACTGCATAATACAAAATAATCATACAAAAAAGTAAAAGTAAAAGGCACTGGCAAGATTGCAAAAGTAAAATAAAAGAATAAGATAGCGAAAGCAGATTAGCATCGACAGATTAAGATAAATAGCAAAAAAAAAAGAAATTTTATAAATATAAAAAAAAGCAATCCAAAAGCAATCAGCCAGTGCCACTAACGGTAAGCAGCGACAAGTCTGGTAAAGAAATAAAATATAATAGATTGCATAGACAAATATAAAGCACTCAGGCAAAATAAGCAAAATAAATCGAAGTAAGCGATATACCGGCATAGAACGTGGCAAGGTGCAGCAAGAATACACAAAAAAAATGCAAAAATAAGCGGACGTGTTCTCGAATGGTGGAATGTCAGCTGGAAGACAGAAGAAGAGAAGTATCGAATAGCATCCTCAAGCCACCAGTACAGGACAATCGCTAGGGCAGGATGAATCAGCCTCATTTTCAGTCACAGAAACCAGAATCCTCAGGGCAGAGCATGAAAATGTGAACATGGCTTTGTAGACCGGCAGGCTGTTGGAGCTAAGGAGACAGCAGGCAGAGAGGTAATAAAACTCCAACGAAGCCAGCTGGGTGAACAGGTGGGCACGAGGCACCTGAAACAGACTACAATTTAATAAAAAGTGTTCAACAGTCGAGGGATCATTGATAGGGCAGTGACCACAATTGGATGCGGGGTTAGACTTGTAGATCTTGCCGTTCAGACTAAGGCTCCAGTAGATGGCGGTGGCCAGTCTGAGACTGGCTATAACTCTCAAATGTGCCAGAGACAGGTCGCACCGGAGGTAACTTGGTACAGGGTCATCGATAGTACGAGGGAATGAGTGTTGCAAGACACTCGAATTCCTACACCGTTCCAAGTCTGCAGATCTTTCCTGCGCCGAAAGTTCCACAAAGAGTGTTGTCCCACGCTGGTCCCAGATCAAGGGGTCGGTAGAAATCGACCGATCAGCTGCACTGGTAGATAGGAGCCACTCCCTGAAGAGGGAACACCAATTGAGTGGAGATGGACCTGAAGAAGCGTCAGCCAGTCGTCTAAGACGAGTCATGATGATATTGGGGAGACGAGAGTCGGCTAGTTTCAAAATATTCGTGTACCATCTCCAATCAGTTTGGCTACCTTGCTCTCTCCAGGTGTTAGATCTGAGTCGATAAAGATACTGGAACCATATAGGAGCTTTTTGTTCTGGAGGATGGATCTTTTAGACATGGTGGAGTCGAGGGACACGGTGATGAATTGGGTGCTCTGAGTAGTCTGCCGGCGGACCCTCACGTCAATGACTCGGCCACTGAACTTAAGTCGATTAGTGACGAACTTGGAGACCTCTTCGAAGACGACCTTGGGA